ATACATATGTATGTATATGTATAAAACATGAATAAATATGATGCACCTACTTAGCGGCAGGTTTCTTTCTTCAAATTTTCCCCATATATGCAAGTTTTTTCTTAAATGCATGCAGACATATACATATATGCATGTTTGAGCGTGTGTACTCATTACTCATTCACGTAAAGAGGAAGTGAATTCCGACCTAATACACCACATACGAACATACGTCAATACAAACATACAAATCCACAATGTATTAAGCCTCCAAGCAAAGAGATGTGTGACAATGGCAACATTATTTGTTTTTATAGCCGATCAAATATATGTATGTAGGTACGTAAACGCTTTAAACTGTATAGTACCTATAAATTACAGTTACTCAGAGTAAAGCACTCACAAGAATTATGCGTTTGCACCTCTTAATATGAAGCTATGTAACTTTATCGCTGACACGAAGATGCGCATGCGCATAGGCATGCAGCTTGTTAATGGCGTGAAATCTTCTGGTTGTCGTTATGCGCTAGATGTTGTTGCTTGTGCTTCAACGATTTTTTTTATTTTCCGTTTTTTTGGCGCATTAATTAATAGCAGCAAAATTGTTGTCGTTAAAGTAGTTGCTATACAACGGTTGTGCTTGCGCTTACCGCAAACTCATAACAATGACAATTTCCATAGCCTACATACAACGTCGACTGGCAATCGTACAATGGCAATTAGGCATTAATGTGATAGTTGTCGCTGCTGCACTCTGCTTTTATGACAATCGTGCAACATGCTTACTGCAATACTTTTATTTTTGTTTGCCTGCGAAATGGGTAAATGAAATGCAATGGAAAATAACGTGGCATCGTTAAGTGGTTGGCACTCTATAGGCTCAAAAATTGTCCATTGCATGCAAATGCAAGGGCACAGTGCGAGTATTGTTTTTTAAACTAAGTAAGTATTGCTCATTTATTTTACAAATATTTAGGTTGAAAATTGTAAATCCTAATTTGGAAGCATTAGAAATGTTAGAAACACTTGACTACTGTATCCAAATGGAAAATTTTGTTTAATAAAATGTTTAATAAATAAAGCACATTGTAACCTCAAAAGTATTTTTGAAATAAAGCTTACGTTTATCTCACTTGTTTGACACTCCTGTAAAGCTATTTAATTTAACCTGTCAATTAAATTTATTTTGAATTATTAAACAAGTGGGAACCTCTTAAAAATATTTTCTATGTAAGATTTTTAAACTTTTATTGTTTGGTACCTATTTTGAAATATTTAATTTTAGGTGTTAATTTAATTGATCCTGGAAAAATGTGAATAAAAAAACACATTAAAATTTTACCCGAAACATGTTTGTGTGGTACATCCCCCTATCAGCTGCAGCTACATTCAAATTTTTGGACGTAGCCGAATTGGTTATTTTAAAAAGATTAATCATCAGCAGCTTCCTCATAAAGCCTGTATTCCCGATTTTAAATCTTCTTCAATATCGCTTGCTTTGTTCCAAATATTTAAAAAAAATATCCACTGAGCAATGAGTAGTAAATAAAACAAGTAAGAAAGTCTAAGTTCGGACGGAGCCGAACATTTAATACCCGGCGCAAGTATTAAATATATGTTTTCCACCTTTCCGAAAGCTACCGCTGCATGATAAGCGGGTGTATAAATATTAAGTAAACTAGCATCCTTAAATTTCGAAATATTGAAATTTCAAGCATTTCTGAAATTTACCGTTATATGAAAAGCGGCCGTAATTTTAGTCCGATTTCAATAATTTTGAACGGTTTGCTTTTATGTGGCAAGCACAATAATCATACCGAGTTTGGTACAAATTGCTAGAACTGTTACCGAGATACATAAATGTGATCATAAGTGGGCGGTGCCACGCCCATTTTCCAATATTTTATCATAAGCGTATTTCCTGATAAAGAATTGTTGCAACTGTCAATTTTGAATAAATTAGCTTTAATATTTACTGATTTATCGAGGATTTCGTATTTCTCGAAATTACCGTTATATGGGATGTGGGCGTGGTTATTGTCTGATTTTAAAAATTTTCGGCCATTTGGTATGCTGTACCAGGGTCAACAACTGTGCAAAGTTTGGAAGAAATTGGTGCAGCGGTTTTCCAAATATACACATGTAACTATAAGTTGGCGTGGCTACGCCCATTTTTCAATAATTTTTAATATTCTTATTTCTCGTCTAAAAGTTATTCTAAATGTCAATTTTGAGTTAATTATCTTCCGTAGTTACTAAAATATCGCAGTTTTAGCATTTCTGAAAATTACCGTTATATGGGAGGTAGGCGTGGTTAGTGTCCGATTTCGCCCATTTTCAATACCATCCGTCCCACGCCCAATAGAAGTGCATGTACGAAGTTTCGTTAAGATATCTCAATTTTTACTCGAGTTATCGTGTGCACAGGCGGACGGACGGACGGACGGACAGACAGTCACCGCTTAATCGATTTCTCTTTTCATTCTGATCATTTATGTATACATTTGTCTATATCTATCTCGATTCGTTTTGCCTGTTACAAACAACCGTTACGTGAACAAAGTTATAATACCCTTGTGCACAAGTGCGCTCGGGTATAAAAATATTATTCGTCATAGCAACCAAAGTTTTATAAAGAATATCTTTTGGAAGCTTACCTCTCATTTATCCTACTAACCCATTGAATCTGTCTTAAGGCGGCTCTTTTTCACGGTTAACTAACTTATTCCCATAAAGTTTAACATACTATTTAAATGTAATTATGGATTAATTATATACGAGGAATACGAAGGAATACGAAGACTAATCGAAGACGAATACGTGTACAAGAACGGGTACAAGGAAGAATACGAAGGCGAACAACAATGCGAAGGCGAAGACGAATGCGTAGAGTAATAGGAATAGTTATACAAATAGTAATAGATAGACGAATAAAAAAAGAAAACAAAGACGAATATGAATACATTAAGAAAGTGCTTTTACATTTTTTTTGCTCAGTGGTTTTGTTTCTGCATATTTCAAAAGCGTTTATGGCTTCAAAATTGGTTGAAAAATGCTTCAGTCTTTGGCAGTTTGTCTGACTGGCAAGGAGTTTTTACGAAAAATACGGTTTATAGAAAAATTGTCAGCAATTGAACGGTAGTATAGTTAAATTGTTTAGAAATACTACAAAGGGTGTCGACAGTAATTGGCACTGATAGTCTATATAAAACAATCGACTTATTAGAAAAACACAGTGCTACCAAATTACAAAACTTGCACGAACTTTTTAAGTGACCTGTTAGGGATCGTAGATCTGGTCGAGTAGTTCACAAAAATGTGTTTGAAAATTTTCTAACACCCTCAAATTCTCAGCGTATTCATAAAAAACCAATTTGGCCCGATCTCAGCTGCAAAACAAGCTTAAGCTCCATTAATTTTTAAGCAATTTTAAGTTTTAATATATGTATCTTTGGAAAGAATAATGTTGTATTTTTCTTTTATCAAAATGACTTTTCCGATGTTTTTTCTGGCATATTTGCCACTTTTTTCTACAAGAAAGCATTTACATTTAAGTCATTTTCTGCAAGGAATGCTTTATTCAGAGTGAAAAAGGTATCCGTTCTTAAAATTTGCTTTCATTTTCAGTCTCACAAATTGTTTGCTGAAATTTTAAAATCAAAAGTTATCGAAACAAATTCTATGGGACTACGAAAAACTATTTTCTACTTTTTAGCAGGGATCGTAACAGTTACAAATCTTAAAAAATCGCTCTTTAACAATTATTTTTGGACTATTATTTAATTACACCTTAAATAACCGCTATTTCTGACCTTTATTTTATAATTCCAAAATAACAATTATTTTTTATTTTTATCTAAATAATTGCAAATAACAGTTATTTTTGATTATTAAGTTATCTGTCTCAGATAACAGTTATCAAAGACTTTTTTTTATAAAAAAGTCATAAGTAAAAATCAATCACTGATCTTTATTTTTTAAATCATACTTATAAAAGTCATTTGTATAAGTCGTAGTAAACTTTTGTTTACCAACACCTTCTTAACTGCAAAATAGGTTAATGACATTTATACGAATGATTTAAAAAATAAGAGTCACTGATTAGATAAAAGTCTTCAATGACTGTTATCTAAGACATATAATATAAAAATAAAAAATAATTGTTACTTTGAATTCATAATAAAAAAATCACAAATAATAATTATTTTTTTTTAATTTTTCATAAAAATTGTAAGCAAACATTAATTTTTAAATTTGAGTCTCGGTGAAAAAAGACATCGATTGGTATGTATCACTTAGTTGTAGAACATTTCCTTCATAGTGAATTTTTCCACTACAGTTTTCATCAATAACTGTTATGTTCGGTCCCTGCTTTTTAGTCCATTTATAGCTACGTTGTATACTAAAAAAAGTTTTTATTTGATTTTTTTTTTTTTTGAATAAGTAAAGATTTCGATTGTATTTGAATATTTCCAAACTCATTTATTTTTGACATTTCTCTCCTGCGTAAAAATAATCGATAAAACTAGGTTGGACACCGAAAAGTTATCGGTTTAGTCTGAGATTATTTTATAACAACAGATTAACGAGGGACGAATTTTGCATGGCTAATCTGCCGGAGTAGGGAGCTCAGCTCAAAAATTAGGATAATCGACTTATACATTACCTAGTAGAACGCATAAGGAAAAATTTGTTTGAAGCCAATGATAAGTGAAAATTTAAGCTCTATGCTGAGTTTCCACCCATTGTTTTTATAATATTTGCCAGCATTCATGTCGAAAAGCCTTAAGGTAAATATTAGAAAATTTAATGTCTTTTTACATAAAAGACCTCTACACCTAAAATAGTTCATGAACTAAATTTTTTTTTTGTTGCTCACAGTCAAACATTAATGCCCAGACATTTAAAACAAATGTGCATAACTATAAGCAATTTTCACTCTTTCATAGTTGCTATTTATTGTATTTCTAGCATATTAATAGCTCTATTTATTTCAATTTTACAATTTTCCAACAACTTACCATTTGTGCTCTGCGCTCGTGCTGAGCTGACAGCAACATCACCGCTTCGAATTACACCGGCAGCAGCACCAATAACACCTGTCTGGCCAGCTGTGCCATCCAGCGTTGTTGTACTCCAACAGCTTACGAACGGCAGTAGTGTTAGCAACGCTAACGCATAACTCCTTCGTGGCCAATCCATTGGGGATTTACTATGAGAATACAATAATTTTCTACAGCCGAAATGGCCAATGAGGTTTTTTTTTCTTTTTTGCTGTTTCAAGGCTTGTTGACAATCGACACAGCAATCAATTTACGGGTAACATGAAACTTTTAGGCCTTCACTTAGGCGTTTGATTATAGTACATATATTTCGTTGAATGGGCGCGTATTGTTGTTTATAAATTAGGCGCATTAAAACCGTTACTTTTTTATTTTTTAAGAATAGGAATCACAACTTTTTTAGTGTTTGCTTTCTTCCAATACCCGTATATCTATGAAAGTACACACGACAGCCAGTTAAGAATGGCATATTTTAAGCTAATAAAAACAAACTAAAAGTATGTAAATTTTTGAGTTTTCACTGACTTTATTGTGAACCTCGCTGGTTGGTCACTTGCCAGACATACTGGTCGCGCAAGCGCACACAAAACACACGCACACAAACTCAATGTAACTGCTTTGGTTCAAAAGCGTTGGCGCGCGCACATTGGTCACTTATAAAATATGCATAGAAGCATAGAAGCATCCAAAACTAAAAAAAAAAAACATAATCAACGGTAAAAAAACAAAATTACAACAACTTCAATTTCACCGGTATTTCGTGTTGACTTTTATGATGACTATCTCGAGTTTACTTGTTTTCTTATTTTTCAATATTTTCAAGATATCACGCAACAACAACAGCGCATCTACTTGTTTGTAGCACTCAGCTATGCAAGTGCGATGAGTTGTCCGCAGCAGCTCAGTTAAAAGATTCGTTGCAAACGCGACCAAGTTCAAGGTAAGATTAAGCCATGACTGGCATACGTAAGAAGCTTTATACCAAAGCGCCTGTATACGATAAACAAATGCTCAGTCTAGTGTCTAGTTTGTAGCTTCGAAGAGAGCGAGTGCGTAGGGTGTAAAAAAATCACATTTGGGAGTGCTGTAAAATTATGTGGCGCTCGAGAGAGAAGTTGCAGCAAGTAGAGAAGCATAGAAAGAGAGTACGACGGCTTCAATTACAACCAAGTAAGCGCTGCGTGAGTACTTCGAGTCTCGCGCTTGCTTGTGCCATGCCATTGGCTTTATTGGCGACGCTGAAGGCGGTAGTTAGCTAGCTGTAAAAGCCCTAAGCATTTAAGCTGCCAATAAAGTTTTATATGCGACTTTAGCAGAGGGATGGCTGTTCCGAGAAAGGGTTGGATAGCCTATGGAAATGTTAGTATTAAGGTTTATGTATGTATATTCAAATGTACATTTAGCTTTAGTGCAAGGGCTATTATTTTTTACCGCTGCCATAAGTGCAGCAGTTTTTGCAAAAATTTAGAAAGGGCGAATAGTATACTAAAATTTATTTCAAAGAAAATCATAACTTGTAACATTTGATAATACTTATTTTATTGCAACAAAATTTTCGGCATACTTTATTATCAGTGAACGATGCCATGTTTGTAATAATGCACTAAGTGTAATATATTAGTTTTACATTTTGGGTTACACCAAGTTTTTTTTTTTTAGTTGAATACAAAGGACCAGGCTACCACCAGGTAACATTTCTTTTGATTGTTTGGATTACACTTATACAAATGTATGTATATTAGGGTGGTCCAAAAACAGAAAAGTCGGAATTGTATTGCTCTCACCCCCTAGGATCGTTCTATACCGAAAAAAGTATATCCCAATTGTTTGATTTTGAAATCAAAAAATATTTAGAGGTCGCTCAAAGCGCTCAAAGTTTTCCATGTATTTTTATATAGCGAAAAAAAACTTTTCGTAGAAATGGTATAGAATTCTTGAAAATCAATATTTTTCGATCGGAAATCTGCGGTTCTCTTTAGGAGTCTCTCAATAATAATACCCAATTATTTATTTAACCATTTTTTAATACTAACGATTTTTTATTGGTCGCCCCATTGCATTTTTTCTGGGTTTTTGTAGGTTTTTGGCCGACCTATAAATTATAGTTGCGATGAAAAAATGGTTAAATAAACAATTGGGTATTATTATTGGGAATCTCCTGCTGATAAAAAGAGTCTTCTGGTAGAAAAATATTGATTTTTAACTATTCTGTACCATTTCTATGAAAAGTTGTTTTTCCCCATATAAAATATATGGAAAATTTTGAGCGCTTTGAGCGACCTCTGAACATATTTTGATTTCAAAAAAAATTGGGGTTAATTTTTTCGGTAGAGAACAATCCTTGGGGCTGAGAGCATAAAAATTAGGAATTAACTTTTTCACATGCATTTTTGGACCACCCTAGTTCATTAAAATTCAAGCAAATACAAAGCCATTATGGGAAATTTCGTGACGCCACCCATCGACTCTTTCTCTCTGGATAAGTAACTAAGGTATGGATGACATCCTTCGCCAGTACACCTGGAGTTGGCTGAACAGTAAATTCGAGAGCTGTGTCAGGCTAAATTCTCTTGTATTTTTACCGAAGCCAAGTTGAACTTGCCTCACGCGCCACAAGACCTTCTGCAAAATATCTTGAAGCAGTTGGCAGGTTTGCTCATCAAACAAGACTTAGAGAGAAGCACGGTTTTAAAGGCGACACGCCCTACACATTGTTATAGACAAGCAGAGTTAGCCCTCGAGAATGGAGAATTCATGGTGGGGGTTTTCTTTGAAATAGCCCTAGCCTTGTATAATATCTAAAATTAGTCCATTTCAGACTACGGGACTAAAATAGGGATTTACCCGTAAGAGACAACAAATTGCATGTGTCGATTCGGCCACAGTTGTTAAGCCCAAAGAAGTTGGAGATAGATAAGTATTTCCTGCTATGGAGTACGAGTTTCCGATAGTTAGCACGGAAGAAGTCCTTCTCGCTCTACAAGGATAAAAAGTCAACGGGGCGGGTTATTAGATATTTAGTTATAATGAATGCCATACAGAAGTTGTGCTTCTCGAGTATGTACATAAGCGCTAGCGACTAAAAACTGGATACCCACCAGCGGACTCCTCAGGACACTACCCTTAATTAATTTTTGATACATTGGAAAAGTGGTTAAACGTATAGTCAGGGATAGACTTACAACGGAAATCGAGGAACGAGGAGACCTCTCTGAAATGCAACTTGGCCTTCAGAAAGTGGAATTTAACAGTGGAGGCAACCGGTGTAGTTGAACTATTGGTGGATAAAGGTAAAGTAATACCGCTAAATTTGCTACCTCGATGGCAAAAAAATGCATTCCAACCCGCAAACTGGAGACGTACGTACATATGTACACATAAACGACGCTCTTAGCAGATTTCAAATACCCACATTCCTCCGGTTAATCACAGGTAACCACTTACTTTATGCTGGAGTGCTACAAGGATGGGTCCAGGGCCGAATAACACATTACACCCCAAAATATTGGGCATAATGTTAGATATACTATAAGGCTACGTGGTTGGGGAAAGATTAAACAGTTTCAGCGATTCTCAAAAAGGTTTTGTTAAATAATAAAAAATGTGAACATCTACATGCTGACTCGTGAGTTCTGCTCTATGGCATAGAAATATTATCTGAAGCATTTAATAAGACGTCATATGCACGTAAGGCCAGGTCACTTTATAGACTCTGCGCTATTCAGAAGCAGCAATACTGGCCCATCGATATACTGGCAAGAGTGGCAGGTTCCAGGAACGCAAAGCGGGCAAAACGCGAAGAGGAAAAGCAGAGGTGTTTGCAGGAATGAAAGTACTCGTTGATTGTACAGTCTGGCGCTCAATATATCAAGGCGGGTACTGGCGGAACATGGGTGCTCCAGATCATACAAATTTAAGAGTAAGGGTAATACTTCCTCTACCTTGTATGCAAAGGACGTTATTGGAACCGTTTGAACACTACTTTTACATCTCCCCGCAGATTGCCATCTGTGGGGATGACTCGAGCATGAAGGTGGAGAGGCCACTTATATTTGAAAACAGTGTGTTTCTTGTGTGGTAGTTCCACGGCGTACGGGAAATTTTGACAGACAGAAAGACACAAAATGAAATAAAATCGAAGCAAATCCGTTGAGCCGTTCTTGAGTTATGCGATAACACACGAAAGAAATCCATTTTTACATATACAATTTTTTTTCGAATGGTGGCAATCCTACCAAAACTTTTTTCTGAACTATTTTTTTTTTATACATTCTCAGTGAAATAGCATTATTGTGGCTTATTTATAATTAATTTTTTTTCCTGATATTGCAGATATCTGGCAAAACCATTTTTCCAATTTTCTCTTTACAAACCTTCTTCAGACAGAACGACACAAAATGAAGTAAATCCGTTGAGCCGTTCTTTAGTTATGCGATAACACACGAACAGCAATTCATTTTTATATATAGAAGATTACAGAGTTAATTTATATGACCACACGTAAATTACCCAGATACATACTTTTTTAATCACTATAATATACATATGCATATCGTTGTAAAAAAAAAAATTGTTCAGTTCTTAAGTTATCAAAGATTACTTCGTTTACTTTCAAGCGGCTACTGCGTAAGCATATCATTATAAATTGTAAGTATACATTTTTCCTAGTGGGCCTTCTTTCCTAACACAACTCTTATCTTTGACTAATCATAACTTACGCTTATGTGTGAAATTTGTGGTATTAACGATTAAATTGTTTGATCGACAGCTTATTAGGGAAAACGCAAAATAATTAAGTAGAAAATTTTCACTTAAATCATGCGCATATACTACACTGTAACATACAAACCGTGTTTCTATGCCACTCATCCGGTGGCTTCTGTCTCGAAATACAGAACCACAAATTTGATTGACCAAAGGAACATCTTCATTTAATCAGCGATGGCTTTTGCCACAAAATAAGTTATACACTTATGCTAAAAAGGAAAGTAAGAAAACCCAGTGACGGAAAATCGTAAAATAATAAAATTAATTTTCATGCATAATTTTAAGTGCGCGTGGTGGCTTTTGTTTGGTAACAGCGAACGCGTCTTTCAACGCGCACAATTAGACACCGAGACAACAATGCTTGCGATGGTG